GTTAAAAAATATTTAGCGCACCTTATGAAGATAATTTAAGATTTATTAATTTTAATAACCGAATTTAAAATAAGTTGTTTTGAAAGAAATAAAAAATCAGTAATTAAAATATTTAAAATAAAAAAATACATATTTGAAAGTATGAATTGTAACAAGCGATTTTGGTAAATAAATAAAAATTTAAATAATTGTAATCGTTTTCAATTATTTATAATAATTTATTTATAATATAAGAATTTATATATATATATATATATATATATATATATATATATAAATTTATATATTTCCACTTAGAAATTAAATAATTATCGCTTAATATGGTTATATGTATAGCCTAAGTTTTAAATAGTTATAGTAAATTTATTTAAAATACTAAAAGAAGAAAATATAAATTTTATTTTATTGAAATTTGTATTGAATATGCTAATTATTAAGCTGCCAAGTTTTTTTAAGATAATTCATTTTGTTCAGAAGAATTTGTATATTAAAAACATAGCCAATCATTTATTATGCAAAGTTTTCTTTTATTTTAAAGTAACTTACAATTTTTTTTCAATTTCGTTAATGAATTTTCACTATATTTGCGATATGTTGTTCGTTTTCAAATTTTTGAAATAATGAAAGTTATTTACCTATGTATCTAATTAAACTCGATTACTTTCTATTTGAAAATCGATTTCAACATAATTAACTCGATAAGAAATATTTAAATAATAATAAATATAAAATTATATTTTTGTATGCGTTTGATTTAAGTCCTTCATAGGTTTTTTTTTTCAATTTAAATATGTACATTAGACATTAGAATAATGAAGCTTAAAGTGGTATACAATTTTCGAATGTAAGAAAGGTTTAAATTCATTGTTTTCGATGTAGCAATGAAAAATAATTTGAAGTGATCGAGCCTTCCTATTTGTAAGGATATTAAATAATAAAAAGCCAATAATCTAAAGCTTTATAATTTAAATTTATTTATAATTATAGTTCATTTAATTTCATATGATGTTAAATATTAAATTATATAAAGTAAAATTTGAAAATATAACATTATGCGCATTGTATTTACACACATTCTACGTTATTGATTTAAGTGAATTCATATTGAAATTAAAACTAGACAATTTAATGAAAGCTGTACAAGTGCGAGGAATATGCTGTTGAAATTTGAAGTTAAGCTGAGTATGTACTTTGTGGCACCATCAACATTCGGACATTGAGCACACTTAATGTCTTGCCGGTATCTATACACTTGACTGTAACTGAACTGAAAGTAAAAGTTTTATAAAAGATATTGCACAAATACTAGGAATATGAGTGATATAATTATAAACAATAGAAAGAATTGAGATAGCAAAATAATTATTTAATATTGCTATTGAAATCATGATATCAAGTTATTAGAAGTTACATTATACATTAGAAATTAGATATTTCTAATAAATATATATAATTATATGTTGTAGAGTTTACTTTACGGTATAAAAATCGAAATTATAAATATAGAATCTTTTGTCATTTATTCATCTATATATAATAGAATGAAATATTATATTATATAATATAGAAACTGAGTTTATCAATAATTCACAGAAGCTCAAGTAACACGGTATAAGTAAATACAGTAAAAGTAAATATTTATTCTAATTCAATAGCATGCAACATTTCTTTTTTCATTTCATCATATATATTAATTTAAAAGAAAATGAAATTCTTTCTGACCTAAATATTCCGTATAATAACTTTTATAAATATTCATACAAAATAAATAATTGCATTTATTTGTAATTTTACTATACCAAAAATTATATAAAGTTAATGGAAATAATTTACTAGAGAATCATAAGATGATATTAATGTAAAATTTAACTTTGCATTCCTAATGAAAATCACAAAAGTAATAATTCTGGATAACGAGAACTTGAACAACAAAGAAAATATCTATGTATTTTTAAAATCTAAAACTTAAGATGTTAACTAACTCATTAAAATCGACGAATGCTCTGCGTCATTAATTTTCTAAAAGTATTTTAATGAATATGAACATACTTTTATGAAAGTAGTTTTAATAATCTTTTAGTCACTCAGAATCATACCGTTTTATACAATTAAATAGTATAGATTTTCAAAATCAATATATGATTGTTATATTAAACTTTATATACACATCTAATACTCGTATAATATTATATTATTATATATTATTAATCTTTGTTTATGTAACGTTTTGTTTACGAACGATTAAAAATATGCACCTGATTGTCAAATATTTTATGTAAACCATGTCTTACAATAGTTAGCTCATGTTTATATTTGTATTTTGCATATTAAATAATTTAAAAAAATTTTCTTTGATAACCTAAGTAAATTAAAAGAAACTCTCCGAATGAAATTATTGTAATGGATTATAAGATATAAAATCAGATTAATAATTTTGATGATGACTTTACTATTTCAAATAAATATATTTATATTAATAATTTTTCTAACTTCAACTAATTTTTTTAATTTCTATAGATACAATCTATCCGTATATATATATATATATATATATGTATATATATATATATATATATATATATATATATATACATAGTAAGTTGTAATTTACTTATAAAAGATTTTAAATTTGGATCGTATTAAATGTAATTAAAAATATGATACATGCGGTTTACGTTGGAAAGTATATCGTGTTAAATTATAAATTATTTTTGTAAATAGAAATTTTTTATAAATTACTTATTTTTCAAAGTCATTCAATAAAATGCTGCAAGAACAATAAAAAAATGAATTTTTTAATTATTCTAAGAGCTGCAACGATATAAAAACTTACAGATAATTCGTTTGAATAATATATTCTTTTATTATTAGTAAATTGCATCCTTATAATTGCAAAATATATTTTAGGTACTCAGTATAAAGTATTTGGATGATTTATAAATACAATATTTTTTATCAATAAAAGAGTAATAAAAGCTTAAATGTTTACTAAAAATTCATTTATTAAATTAAATTTTTATAATAAATGTTTGAAAGTATTTTTGATATTTTAATATGACAAGGTCGATTGATTCTGAAATCGCCGAGTCAAGAACTCTCACATAAGATTTTGGAATCTATAAAGGTCCTGGTAATTTAGAAAAGCATTGATGAGTTTATCAATTGTGCCAATAACGAAAGAGTATTGAAAAAAGATAACTTACGACACACACAGAAGCGTTCTTTAAAATAGTATTGAAGTGGCATGAAATGTTCATGGAAATGTCAACAAGTGAAAATGAAAGTGCTTTAATTTTATTTGAAGTGATCTATAAGAACTTTTACATCATATTAGAAATTCCACTTGATAACATCTATCAATACTTTCAATAAAAATGAAACTATTGAAGAAGGTCTGTTATAATTAATAATTACGAAAGTTTTATACTAATCGTATATAAATATATATTTTTTTAATTATAATTACAATTACTAAGCACAAGCATTAAATTATGCACTGTTTATTTTCTATATGAGAAATGCAGAAGAACTTAAATAAAAATATGCAATACTTTTTTTCTCTATTATAGTGATGCAATTTTATTATTTCATTTATAAATTGTGGGCAAACCGTTACGATAATCGATAATTGATAATTGATAATTGATAATTAATATCAGAAATAATTATTTGTCAATAACATTTTCTTAATGTAATGATTGCATTTCTCTTCAATGCACGCATACGTTTTTACGAGTGCACGCATACACCCATTACATACGCACGTATATTCCAAATGATTTAATTTAAATACGTAAAGTAATTAATGACTTAGCCAATTGAAAGATAATCTTCTCATATTTATAATTAAAATGAAGTTAATATTAAGTTGTATACGTATAGAAGTCTTACACAAATTGCATTTTAATTTCAATAGAACAATGTATTTGAAAATACATGAAATTCGACACATTTTTATAAAAAAAAAAAAAAAAAAAAAAAAAAAAAAATTAAATCATAATTCACGAGAACATATTTTAATAAACCAAAAAAGTTTGCAAAGATAAATCAATTAACTATCATTTAGCTATTTAGCCATTTATCTTACGCAATTCTGTGAATAATCGTAACACTTTTTAGTACTTGCTTTCGAAGGATTAGCAGCAAATAGCTTGCAAAACAATGAACAATTAAATTTCAGAGAGCCTTTTTCTCTTCGACATCATGATCCAATTGGTATAGTCTTTTTAAAGTGGGAAACTTTTTAAAAAGAATAATTTAATGGAAAGTAAATAATACTAAATCGAAGAATCGGGAGCTGATTAAACCCCGCTAACTCCTCGGTCCTCCATTGCTCTCATAAACAATTTGAGGCTGGAATCATCTCTCCAAGCGATTTCCAAGCGATGCAACAATCGCGGTCGGCTGTCATATTGGGCGGGTTAGCGCACGAAACCACGGTGTCTTTTTATTGTCAAAGAAGGAAATGACAAATAGGTCTGTTAGGAAGATCGACTATTGTCGGAGAAGGTGGTTACGTTGTCGTGCGCGGCCTTGCTCTCGATGCCTCTTGTCGTCGTTGCGAAAGGATCGTTCAATGCGTTCATCGGCGCCTCACCTACACACTTACCCAGTCACCGCGGCATGCGAGTAATGAATAAGCCCGACGACCACCCGCGCCGTCACCGTGACCGTCGTTCCTCGTTTGCCTACGACGACCATCTTGGTGCTGGGGCAATGACGGTGATGATGGTGGTGATGGTGGTGGTGGTGGTGGTGGTGGTGGTGGTGGTGGTGGTGGTGGTGATTGTCGTGGTGCCGTTGCCGTTGCTGCTGCTGCTGTTGCTGCTGCTGGTGATGGTGGTGATGGTGGTGATGGTGGTGGTACGTTGCGTTGGTACAGGGGAGGCGCCGCGCAATACCTCGTTCACTTTTCAGGAGGAGCGGCCCGAGGCTTCGGGATCGTTGCTGGAGGTATATAAAAGGCGAGGGCCCTCGTCGGGGCCAAATCAAATCAACTTCCGAACCCGTGGTACAAGCATGAAGGTAAGGAACGCGCGGCCGCTCTTTTCTTACGTTTCCTCACGTGGCACGGTATCGCAGCTCCTTCTATTATAGTGTCAGGGTATTCGTGTTGTTTATTTAACATCATATTTATTTTCGATTGAGTGATATCTTTGTAAGATACTGTTGTGACCGAATATCAGCGTCGCTGCCGTTTGCCGTTATTGATATACCGGCTGCAAGGACTCGGTTACTCGAAGGGTTTGCTCTTGAGATGAATTATTCTCCAATTTTCTTCAAGTGTATTTATAGTCTTTGCACTTGCTATTATAGCGTTAACGGAATACAATTGTATTCTTTCTTTTATAAGGAACAAGGAACAGTGGATGAAAGTTACGAAGTGTGAATCTGTTGTGATATTCTCCTGCAGTGTCTTTTCATTTGGTCCTACTTCTTCCACCTATAAGATATTCAAAAGAAATTCTAATTGTTAAGAGGCTTTGGTGTTAGCAAGCTTTAAGTATAAAATAAAATAATATTTTATATCAAATTAAGGTACTTCTTTAAGAATTTTCTTATCTTCCATCATTATAACGAATTTCAAGTTACTGCTGATTCTATATTATATTATAATTTCATTTTTAACTTCTCAAAATTATATATATCACATATTGATTAACCATATAAAGTTATAAGAATTGATTTAATTACGATATATTAAATTGAAGCATTTCAATTATCTTATACTATTAATGAAATATAATAGTGATTATTTTCTTAACAATACAGCTATTGAGTGCACAATATCGAAAGAGAGAAAAAAACTATAAATCAGTATAATTTTATTATCTATTTTATTCAAAGAAGATAGTTTCATCGCGTTTTACGATAACATAAATTTTTTATTTATTACGTAGTAAAATTGATTTTGGTTATAATATTTTATTAAAGTATAAAATATAAACATCAATTTATCGATCTATTATTTATAAGCAATACACTGAACTTCGTATAAGTCAATATTTCTGCTCGAAATACGCCGTATAGAAAAAATATTATACACTAAATATTTTTAGAAAATCTTTATCTCCAATTAATTTTCAATAGAATATATAAATCTTTCCTTAAGAAGCCAAAACACATTGTTAACATAATTCGTTTTTACAATAATAGATTTTGATGAATATAAAAAAGTTCTGTGTGTGCATTATGTATAGAAAATAATTTATCAATTATTATCAGGAATTTGGTACTGTACTTGTTACTGTATTTCAATAATAATAATAATAATAATAATAATATAATAATTTAGAATGAAAACTATTGACTAAATATTGAATTACGGGTAAAATATTTTTCGACGATACAACCATTTGGATTTCCGAGCTTGAAAATTTAAATTAACATCTAAACTATTATTTTTAACGAAATATCATACAAACGAAGCCAAGAATAAATATTTGAATTTTTTTCATTTAAAAGTAAATGCTTACACTGGGTATCTACGAATTTAAACAATAATAGTACAAATCACAAATAATCACGTAATTTTACATTATAATTAACGTGGTTGAACTTTTTAAATATTATTACTGATTTTCTTGACGCTATAAAGTAAAGAATGCATACGTTAAATTTATGTATCTGTAAGCAGAATTATTTGAAATTTATTCGCTGTTTCTTAGGTACTCGTTGTGTTTCTGTCCGTGTCAGCGGTGGCACTATGCAGCCTTGAGCCCATCGGATATCGGCCACCAGGTTCATCACGCTATTTACCACCTCACCTTCAGTATCAGCAAGATCAACATCATCATTATCATCAACATCAACGTCAACATCAAGCCCGCCCGAGCAATCCGTCACATTCACCATCCTCTGAATATTTAAATCCGAGTCTAGATCGTCTAGCAACTCCTAACCTTTCTTCCCAGTACCTGCCGCCCCGTGCTCATCAATACAATCAGCTGCAGCATCAGTCACAGCAGCAGCAGTATCAACAGAAACAAGGAGCGACCATTCCATCCAACAATTATCTACCTGCCATCGACAAACAACGTATCGCCTCGCCAGCACCACCTCCCACTGACTATTCGTCACCAGTTTCAGTTCCTAGTAGACAACAACCTCTCAATGAATCAACAACGCTCTTGAATAATTATTTACCACCTAGTGCCGCGACCGCTCCAACTCCAGCTAATGAGTATCTACCAGTATTGTCGAGAGGACAATCGGCGGTGACAGCCTCCTTGAAAAACAATTATCTACCTCCATTAGCGAATGGACAATTGGCACCTAATGCTGACTATTTGTCACCAAATGGGTTAAATGCGATATCTACGACAGCTGCGCCCAGAATCTCTCTTTTACCCACATCACCATACAAACATGACGCAGCAACAATCTAAGTTTAGTGGTTCCAGATTGGACGCATCATCTTTGCCACAACATTATTCTTATCCTACGTCCGCCCCTACTTTCGAACATAAGAATCACGGGTTGAGTGGATTCGATCAACTTGCTGATAATTATCTGCCTCCGATTCAAACCGCACGTGACAGTTACGATGCCTCACAAATTGGATACCGATACAGTGGCTCGGTTTCAGCTGCTGCTACTGCTACTGCTGCTGCTGCTGCCTCTGCTGCCGCTGCCTCTGCTGCGCGTGTCGAACAAGCAACGGTAATAAACTATTTCCGAAAAATTTCCTATTTACATTCCATTATATCCGCGTGTATTTAATTTATGACGCAATTTCGTCATCGTAAATTTTTAAAATTATTTTTAACGAATTTGCTTAATTGTATTAATTACACTCCCTACTTCTAATGGCAATTAAAAAAAAAAAAAAATTTTCGTTATATTACGTTACGATTAATAAATAAAATTAATTAAATTAGTAAAAGTGAAATTTAACGAATACGTATAATACATTAAAATACCGATAGCAAATGAAAATTTTTATTAAAAAGTGAAATATAATTAAATAAATAACGTAATAGCAATTACTATGTATATATATATATATATATATATATATATATATACATATTAAAATTAGAATAAAGAAGTCATTAATTATATTAAATAATATATTTTTAATATTCATATGATAATTTTAAATCTCAACAAACATATAAAAATTATTATTATTATATAATATAATCTCTTTATCATCGTCAATTCAAATAAATAGATAATATAAAGTATATGAAACACTCGATATTAACATACATGTTTATATTAATTAAATGAAATTCTATTTGTTAATAATGCTAATGATATTAAATAAATTATTCTAAAGGACTTTATGCCTGTATTAGAAATATAAATGCACGAGTTAATGGATCGAATGGAGTATTAAATGTTAATCGAATTATAAATAAAATCATATCACTAAATTTAATTTATAAATATAAATTTTTATTTTGTAAAACTTAAAGTATTAAAGTATACTTATGACATTAATAAGCACATACGGTAGCTAATATCTGGGATATTATAAAATTAGCGAAACTTGGTACGCTAAAATTTATGGCATGGAGGCGCGAACAAATATTGATGTATAATAGAACGGTGTATTTTGCGGCTAATCATACATGAAAGGGAATGTGACCGCGACCCTTGATTACAGACGAAATGAGCTTTGGTAGACCCAACTTTGATTGGACGTACTCTTAATGTCTTGTGGCGAGCAAACGAAAATCCAGGTTACGGAAAAGCTAATCCAAACTTTCAATTTGAGCCATGAAATTCAATGTAATATCTAAACATAAAAGCACTTAGTATTGTTGTAAAATAATTTCCCTCCTTTTTTTATTTTAATATTAGATTGTTTATATGATAGTTAATTAAAAATTGAACTTACAAATTTGTCCTTATAAAAGAGGAAATGCAAGCAGTGCTATAAATTATTTAACTTTGCTCAACAAATAGGTTGAGATACTTGATTAATAGTGTTTGCGTGATTTCAATTTACTATTATTTTTTGCATCAATTATTGCTTCGAACTATCGTATGTTCAATGTTGAAAATATCTAATTGTATTTATTTAATCAAATCTTGGATGTTTAAAAGACAAAAATTCTAATAAGTGAAAAAACATGACAGAACAAGTGAAATGACTAATATAATTTGTCATTTTTAATGTAATAATCTATAAAATTCTGAGCTCTACTTTATGTAAATCACATATTGTTTAAATTTCTGCAGTACGTAACAAATTGGCGATAAGCATTTACTTTCGGCTACTGTGCGCAATGTGTCAAGTAATATTAAAGTTTTACGAAAGTACGCATTACATAAAGAAAGTAAATTCTTAAAATAAAAATGAAAGCGGAGTATGAATAATAGAAAATACCTACAAACGTTGTCAATGACATTGTCATGCGTCCTTTATAAATTTATTCAATAATTCAATCAATGTATTATAACTAAAGTTATTCAATTTATTTAGACAATAGTAACTTTTATCTAACATAATACTGTAAATAATTATTCGATGAATCGTTATCGAGAAATTATGTACATAAAAATCAAATAGGATGCTTTAAAAGTATTTCAATTTACCTAAATGTTCAAGCATCAAAACATCTAGATGAAAGTAATTCTATTTATTTATAAATTTTCATAATGTCCCTATAAAGTTGGCGGATTATCAAGTACTTTACTATTATATTATCATTTTCTGAAAAAATTGCAGGAAGCGGCGAAATATGACTTTGAGTACCGAGTGAGCGACGAGTTTGGCAATGATTATGCGCACAAAGAATCACGCTTAGGTAATCAGATCCAAGGAGTCTATAGCGTTTTACTACCAGATGGACGTAAACAAATTGTGCATTATGAAGCCAACGAGAATGGCTTCAAACCGAGGATCTCGTACGAGGAAGTTGCCTCCGTTTTAAGCTCGAAGACTCCGGCGGTAGTTGTCGACGCCGGATTTGCTGGTTACAACAAGAACGGCAATGGTCTTGACCCCCAAGGACCATACTAGTCTCCTTACAAGGATCTATCGACGCTACAGTGTCTCTTCGAAAAGCGGGGATTCTTTATTTTTTTCTTTCATTATTCTTTTTCTAATGGAAAGTGCTTTTTTTCTTTAAAGCTGCACGCCAGCGTAATGGATAACAGCCACTACCATTAACAAAATTGAAGCTCACGATTTGTTTTTCCTTAATGAATTAATATGACGTATTGGGATATAAGATACTTGTTCCGAATCACAATTATTATTATTGAATACATATTTATAATTAATTTCGATACTATTTCGTATATGAATAAATTGATAATAAATCTTCAATTTTTCCTTCATTTTCCGCTTTTAATTGGCAAATACTTTTCTTTTTTTTTTTACTGCTCTTCATCGATTCGGTTCAAAGTTATAATTACGATTTGGAATAATTATCTTATATCATAATCATGAAATTATATAGTGAAACTACAATTTATTTGCATAAGTATTTACCATCAATGTTTATTATAACAAAAAAAAAAAAAAAAAGAAAAGTGATTATCAGTTATAATATCACGTTGTACTTGAAATTGTGTGCTTTGAACGGAAATATTTTATTTATTCATTGAATTTTTCATGCCTGTGCACATAACGTCAGAAATTTATATAATTGTTAGTGTGTATTGTGAAATGAAGAAGAATTAAGTCTTATAAATGATAAATGTCGAGGTCTCATTAGAAGGAATATAATCTTTATATTATAACTTTTATTTATTGATACATACGTTATATATTTTCTGTAAAATAAAAAAAAAAAAACTCCCTATATAATGGTATATAATTATTTTGAAATGTAGCAATGGAGTTGTTAGTTTTTTCAAAATGCGCCTTTATTGAAAATACAAAAATAAGTGAAATACATTTAAGATTACTAGTGATTTATATTGAAACGAATTTATAATTTATTAAAAACCAAAAGTTCAGCTTCAATCTTTCACAATGTTACCCCTAGACCCATAATTACCCTTAAATTGAAATTCTTCTACCAGCATGATGCAGTTACTCTTCCGTCTTCGTATTACTTGGCAATGATATGGTATCATATTGTCGATCGCCTTCCTTTGCCAGTTATCTGTAACGAACTTCTAACAGACAATTTCCTAAAATCTACCATAAATAAGTATCTTTTTATTTTATAGAAAGATTCCCTGATCTCTTTAAATATTAAATCTAAGATTTTCCATTTCAGAGCCGCAAAAATTTGTACTATTTAATTTTTACATTATTCCTGTATCTCTATGTAGTTAGCATTCTTATAAGTTCTTTTTGATAATAATATGATGAAGTTTTATATACTTGTTTAATATATCTAAAATACATCATATTATTAACCAGATATTATGACAAATTGTAGAAACAGTAATATATATTTTGATTATAATGTGTGTTACCGGTCAGCGAATCAAAAGTAGAATTATTAATATAATATTGACCATCCTTATGTATTTATCGAATATTTTTTATAAAAAATATAAAATGTTGATAACAATAAATATTCATTCCTGTTTATTGATTTTTATAGTTTATAGTATTATTATGGTAATATAAAATATTTCAAACATCTATAATAATCTTCATCGTAGTAAATATTTTTATCAATTTATCTTTGTAAATAATTTCTTATCCTAATTTTATTGACATTTACTTTAAGCAAGTAATTCTTATTAAAATCATAGAAATATAATATATATGCTTCTATAGATCATCTATAGAACATCATTAAGAAATGTAAAACATTGTAGAATAAGAAGATTCTATTTTATTTAGCTTTTATTATAATATGTAAACAAAAAAACGTATAGTAAATTATGATTCATAGTGAAATACATAAATTTTAGCAACCATAATGGTATAATTTCAAATGATCTTTATAAAAATTTAATTAATGAATGTAAAATCATAAGTTCCTACAATTTAATTTTCATAGTGATATGAGGTCGTTGAAGAAACAATCTATGAAAGTCATAGATTTTGTAAACAGTTACGATTTCATTTTATCTAAATATTACTGGAGTGCAAATATGCTATATGTACTTAGGTTTATTCAAACAGTCAATTAATTTTCTTGGAGGTAATGTTTGTAGAAATTCTTATCACTTAGTCTTGTAGAGTAGCATTAAATTATATTTTACTTAAATGAATATAATAATACTCAAATAGATCTATACTTCATTATTTTCGTTTCACATACATTTAACGTTATTACATTTGACGTCATTTGGCTAATTTACAATTATTTAGAAATAAATAAGAAGATGTTATCCAAGATATTAACAATAAAAATTTTGAAATTTGCCAATAAATTTTAAAACTAATGCCGCATTCTATAAGGAAATTTATTATATTATAAAATATTAGTTCTGTATGTAACTAATTTATAGTTTCAAATAAATGTAAATATATATACTTATACGTTCAAATACAAAGAGATTTAATTATTGCCATTATGTGTATGACGTGCCAGAAATTATTCCTAAAAATCATAGAATCATGTAAACTATATAAAGCTATATAAATGAGAATATTTCGTGTTTTTGGAATGCTTATAAATGCTTGATTGCTTATAAAAAAAAAAGTCATGGTCATATTCACTACTATATTACATCGAAAAATGATATAAATTTTTTAAAGTAAATGTTTATTGCCACACACGACTACGTACCATGATGATAGTCTAATACGTTTAGAGCCAGAAAGAAAAAATCATGTATAAGTACTTATGTCTTAGTCGAGCCTAGTAGATTTTCCGTTACTTTCCATTTGCTGCATTTGTAAAGAAATGAAGACGGTGATGAATTTGTGAATACTTGTGTGAATATATATATATATATATATATATATATATATATATATATATATACAGACACACACACACACACACACACACACGCGCGCGCGCGCGCGCACACACACAAAAATACATAAGAGAATATGGTTTCTCTACTTAGTTACGCGTGCATGGATAAGTTGAGAAAGAGATCTTCGTTTTATTTCGGAAATTCGTTTTGAAATTTTTAGTAGTATAATATATTTTTAAGAAAATACGGAAACGATCTACTTTCGTTCGTTGGTTAACTACCGTTTCATTTTTTAATCATAGTTATTGAATTATAGAAATATAGTTATATTTGTTTACTAAGTTGTAATTTACTAAGTATAAATTATATTAATAATATGCACATGATTATATATATATATTTAATTGAAAACTGAAAATTGTTATATTTTTAAAAATTTTAATATTTTCAAATAAGTAGATTAATTTTTCTGTTGCATGTTTGTACAATAATTTGAATACATATTTTTTAACACAAATTTACGAACTATATCATAAAATGATTTGTTATTGTATTTGGCAAATATTTTATACGCCTGTTTTGATTTATAATTAATATTTATTCTGACTTTTATAATAATAAAAATAATGAATGATTAAAACTAGCACATTAATAATTTAACAAATAGGATGTAAATTTCTGCAATAATTTAATAATTTTTCTTTGCCAAAAGTCAAGCAAATTATGTAACAATGTTAGAAAATATATTCAATATTATATTATAGTTCAAATACACATATATACTATTTACATATTTGTATAGATATATTTTTATACATATATTAATAAACACTTCCCCTCCCTCCCAGCCGCGACGCACACATACCAGCACACATATATATATATATATATATATATATATATATATATATATGTATATGCTGATATATATACTGATATACATATACATCCACCCAAACATACATTAAGATTGTATTAAAACTTTATCTCGGTTCTAATGCGTTTCATAATTTATGTTCCAAATTTAATTTCACAATATTAATTTGATTTTTAGTATAGATACACGAGATACAATGTCTATTATTATAATTATTATTGACAAATGCGTTATCTTTTCGCTAGATTATCTTTACTACCTTCCGCAATTTGAATATTTCAGAAAGGAGTGCAATTGCTTTGTACTTTATCTTTTCCACTGCTTTTACTTATGTAAATATTTTACATATTTTACCAGTTGTCCTGAAATCTTGCTTGTTCTATTGTAACTAAAAATTATCATATTTACTGAATTAAGATATTGCTTCTGTTTGATATTAAAGGTTTCCTATTTACACGAATTTCTTATATAGAAAAGGAATCAAAGTACAATATTATAAATTAATAGTGTTGTTATTATTAATACTGTATAAACGTTTATGTGTTTGCTTTGTAAATATTAAGTTATTAATTACATTAAATGATCATTTTTAAATTTAACTGCAATATAAAATTTATTATAAATAATTAAAAATATTCAATATTCTTGACCAAAATTTTTAAATGCTTGTATAAATTGTACAGAATTTAAATTCGTAATTAATCATGTAAAAATGATTACAAATAAAATATTATATAGAGACAATAATTTCTTTAAAAATTATGAGAACTTGTTTAAATTTGTAAACAATTACAAGATAATAATTTTTGTCACTTTTATCATTAGAACTTTATTTTACATACTTTTGTATTTGAATATTTGCTTTAATGCAATATTATTTCACAGTCAATCTTTTGCAATCATATATAATCTGTATAGAAATCGCTACACTACACAAAGCAAGATAAATATACTAATGTTTTTGTTCATATATCCAAGTTTCCTGAGTCTGTGTTACTTTTATAATTTGAATTGCAGAAATTTATATATTTCCTTAGTGAAAGGATTTGCAAAATTAAAAATCTCATGATATAGATGCCGAGTGTAAGAGCAAATCTTCTTTATTATCTTAATTATTTTAAGCATTAATATACTTTTATTTTATTTTTTTTTTACCGTAATAAAGTTTATTAGCAAAATCCAAATGGGGAGGAAGTGTTATGGAGAAAAAGGAATGGTCACCATTCTCCCGTTGTGAGAAAAATTAACATTATCGCTAAATAGCGATTTTGTATAAAAACAGGCATGGATAAAATGAAATTATGGTAAGTAAACTCAAATTTGTTTTATTTAAAATTATTATTTTATAAAAATGGTATAAATTACACAAGCAATAGTTTACATGTTTACAAATGCATTTTTATGTTTATTTTTTTTTAATTTTTTTTTTTTAAATTTTTTATAAATATTATTATCGTATACTGTTAAATACACATATTATACAAATGCCATTTAATGTATATGTAAGTATGGTTTAAAGATTGGATGTATTTCAATAATAACAAGCTATGCTACAGAATAAACCATAACACATATGTGTAATAGCAATAATATGTGTAATAAGTGATTGTTTACATTTAATAAATGACATAGAATAGCAATTACGTATATTGAAAATTATGTATATTTTAATGAAAACAAATTAACTAAGCATATTACATATCTTCTCTTTATTTATTTAACTGATGTTATGTTTATTCTGAAAATTCATAGTAAATATTAAAACATATGGCAGAAAATATTTGAAAAATAATATATATATATATATACTTTACAGCAAAGATTGTATGTGTATTATTAAATGTTTCATGCAAAGTCATTGCTATAGAATAATATTTTATCTTCACTAGAATACATTCAATAATAATTGTTTTGGTAACTATATATAATTCTTTTGCAAAATTATTCACGGTAATGAAATTCGTATTACATCTGTAATAATTATTAAAAATATAAGTGAAATAGTAAAATTCAACATTCAACAAAAGGAAACAAATTTCATAACATTAATGAAGTCATATAACTGTAATACTTTTTTTTTTTTTAACAATAATTAATACTTGTTTATACTTTTATATTGACATCAATATTATAAAAAAAAAAAACAAAAAAAAACAAAAAAACAAAAAAACAAAAAAACAAAAAAACAAAAAAACAAAAAAACAAAAAAACAAAAAAACAAAAAAACAAAAAAACAAAAAAACAAAAAAACAAAAAAACAAAAAAACAAAAAAACAAAAAAACAAAAAAACAAAAAAACAAAAAAACAAAAAAACAAAAAAACAAAAAAACAAAAAAACAAAAAAACAAAAAAACAAAAAAACAAAAAAACAAAAAAACAAAAAAACAAAAAAACAAAAAAACAAAAAAACAAAAAAACAAAAAAACAAAAAAACAAAAAAACAAAAAAACAAAAAAACAAAAAAACAAAAAAACAAAAAAACAAAAAAACAAAAAAACAAAAAAACAAAAAAACAAAAAAACAAAAAAACAAAAAAACAAAAAAACAAAAAAACAAAAAAACAAAAAAACAAAAAAACAAAAAAACAAAAAAACAAAAAAACAAAAAAACAAAAAAACAAAAAAACAAAAAAACAAAAAAACAAAAAAACAAAAAAACAAAAAAACAAAAAAACAAAAAAACAAAAAAACAAAAAAACAAAAAAACAAAAAAACAAAAAAACAAAAAAACAAAAAAACAAAAAAACAAAAAAACAAAAAAACAAAAAAACAAAAAAACAAAAAAACAAAAAAACAAAAAAACAAAAAAACAAAAAAACAAAAAAACAAAAAAACAAAAAAACAAAAAAACAAAAAAACAAAAAAACAAAAAAACAAAAAAACAAAAAAACAAAAAAACAAAAAAACAAAAAAACAAAAAAACAAAAAAACAAAAAACAAAAAAAAAATCCAAACCTAAATGACCAGTATTATTTGTTTTAAAGCGAAGAATAATAAATAAATTACAATGTAATGCAATCTTTTCTTTACTCAGTCAGCCAAAGCTAATTATTTTTCATTGTTGAAAAATCTAATTCCTGTATCGATTGAAATTACAAATTGCAAAAGTAATAGCTTTTTATGTCTTGCTGTGGACGCATTAATAGCGATATCCATTTTGTCCGCCGCTGGGAAAACTTCCAGCAGCTCCACTTGGATAGCCTCCCGGACTACTGGCGGGGTAACCTCCGGATCCTGCTCCACTCGGGTAACCTCCCGAGCTACCGCCAGGATAGCCTGCGGATCCTCCGCTCGGGTAACCGCCTGAACTACCGCCAGGATAGCCTCCGACACCAGCGCTGGGATAACCGCCTGATCCGCCTAGTGATCCAGTTCCAGTTCCAGGATAACCTGTAGCCCCACCGATGCCATTACCGACCTGCGTGTACGTGATTTTTGGCCTATAGCCGTCCTGATCAGCTTCGTATTCGACCATCTGACGACGACCGTCAGGTAGAAGTACAAAATAAATGCCCTGAGTGAAATCACCGTCACGAGATTCTTTGTGGCCGAAGTCATTGCCTGATGGTGGATCATTTACCGTGTATTCGAACTCGTATTTAGCAGGTGCCTAGGCAGTAAAACATAAAAATATATTTCATAATAGAACTGGATAGCCTATAGTTTTTTCTTTCTTCTTTTTTCCTTATAATTATTTAAGAATATTTAGATATGATTTTTTCTCAATGCGATTGATATTGGAAATCATATACGTATAAACATAATTATAATTAATATATCATTAATGGGGGTGGAACATAAATGGATAATAAATAATAAATGGGACATTCATTTTATTATTTTATTATGGCAATTATGTTATGTTACGTATATTTATGGATACTTGTATGCACTTATTGTTTTTCCAATATTATTAATAGTGCAAAGATATTTATACATGTTTCGACTTCATTTTTTCTTATATCTTCAGATTAACAAGTTGGCAAAAATTATTTATCCATAATATTTTTCTAATTTTGCATCTATCTATCTGTTTGTTATTTGTTCGTTTTTTTACTTTTGTTAGTGTATTCTTATAACTTACTGTTTTATTCAGTACCATTCGAATCAGCGATCTAACATATGCGCACAATTATAAACGAGTGTAGAACTTCAATAGGTAGCGGGTAGATAAAAAAACCTTAATGTACAAAAAATAGTGGCTTTTTTATTATTAAATGCAGAGAAGCATAAGTATTCTTGTTTTTTTTTTCATCTCGCAATTTTCGCCATTTTCACCGCAATTTATGAAAAACAAAGCGCAGCAAATAATTCTAAACCCAGTATACTTCTATTACTAAAATGTATATATATATATATATAAGTCATGAGTAACCATCCCGTAACATAATGGACATAGCGAATGATAATCTTAAGGCCATAATCATTGTAAAGCGATAATTTTTTAATAGCAAATCAACGCTCGCGCAATACTCACGCTGTTAGCACTGTCACCGTAACCGCCGAAACCGCCACTAATACCCGCTCCCGGAGGTCCATACTGCTGATTTGGCGGAAGGTACTGGTTGGATCCGAAATTGGAACCCTGTCCGAATTGCCCGCCCGGACGACTATTGCCGCCGGATGGCAGTGGCTTCTGCTGCACATTGGGTGGTCCATACAGCTGATCTGGCGGTAGATATTGATTGATAGGAGGCTCCGCGAGCGTCGGAGAGCTGACTAGGATCAATGCTCCTAGCAAGGCTGTCGACAAGACTAACATCTGCGAAAATAACAAGAATCCATGTCAGATTTTGTACTCACTTGAAAGTCAACGTCCAGCTATTGATTTTGTCTCGATTCTCAAGAGCGTGTGAGTGGATTGAAGTACGTCGAGGTGGATGACATAAGATCAGCAGATAATAATGCTATTCCCAACATGTCCTTACCTTTCCTTATTATTTAACATTGATCTATCGATCATTTAGATAGAGCGTAGTTATAAGTCCTGTTTATTTCATACATTCTGATTAGTTATTTCGGAGCTATAATGACAATTATTTAATAATGATGAAATCATTTTCTTCTATTTTCTTCTATATCTTATTTTCGTCTATTATCTTTAGACCGGGATAATGAGAAAGACTCGTGGTTGTATTGTGCATTTGAGTGAAGTAGACGGAAGAAAATGAAGATATGGTAAATTGGCTGTAAATGATAGTAGATTTTCGTTCATTTATAGAGGTTGGCGCTGCATGAATTCATACAAAAGTAGTTTTGCATTTTCATGAAATGAGAACGTACGCGTACTTTGAAGAAGCGTGGCTATTTTGCAATGCGTCTCGTCAAGCCATAGAGCAGATGCGAATCTATACAGTGTGTTGCTGACAGCAGCTTAACGAATCGAAAAGACTGACTGAGATTCGAGGACGCGCACGTGCCGGCAAGTGCTATACGAAATCTGTAACACCAATCTTTCCTCTTCCTCTTTCTTGCTTTGTGTACCTGCATATATCGTGCAAATACTATCGCGCGTCTTTATCCGTATTTTTACATTTATTTTTTTCTATTTGCGTTGCTAAGTGTGTATGCAGGTATTTGTGTTTGTGAACGCAATTGACTGCGTAGAAACATTGGACATGCATAGTTGAAAATTCATTGTAAACTAATGTACGATTCATAGGATATATGCTTATTATATTTTATTATTTTTAATATATATCTATAATACACATATATATATATATATATATATATATATATATAACTATAATATTAACAAAATGTAATGCATGACTATTCATCGAAATTTCAAACCAAATAGCACATATGTAATAAATGCATACTTTCATAAACTATTTTTATACATGCAATCTTTTATTACACGAGATAATCAATATATTTACGTATATGTTTCAAAATGCTTATAATTATAAATATAAGTGTGTCCATTTATTGATTAAATTTATATATTGATAATATGCATGACAATGTGCATATCTAGAAGTATGGATATAAATAAGTGCTTCTTAGGACTTACTTATATTATTCATTAATTACTTGGAGAATAGAAAGAAAAGATAAAAGTGAGAACTTGGAATTTAGGTGGTGATTTGCAATTGCTTATGTTCTCCTATTATTTTGCTTTTTTTCCCGTCATTCTATGAATATACTTATAAAAGTAAGTCACAAAAAGGGTTCAAGCACTTGAATATATTTATCATTAAGTGAATTCTGTGTACACACACATATATAGGTTTTTTCAATCATAATTTTGATACTTTGAAAGATAATTTAAGAGAATAATTATAATAATAAATTTGTTTAATAATATATTTATAACGTATGCATAAATAGTTATTAGAATGTTGAATTATAATTTAAGCTATATATGATTTTATGCGATTTATTTAAACGAAAAATTCTAAAAAGAAATTGTATGATTTTATTTGCCAATGTTCTTTATATATTCAATTCAACGCACTTATAAATTAAATCATTAAATTTTACGTTTTATTATTATTAAACATCAATGAGAATATAATTACTTTAAATAAAATTATACTTACTTAAAATATTCATATTACATAATTCATTATTATATTACTTAATTAAAAATCAATTATAAGCACTTATCAACATTTACTTAAGGGCTGATAAAATTATATTTGCTTATTAATGTTGAAATTAAATGTAAACTTTACCTTTAATATGTGAGAAAATAATAAAATTTAAGTTTAAATTTAATAAACAAGTGGGATTTATCAGTAAAATTTTTGTTTTATAATTAAAAATTTTATATTACGAATGTAAACTTTAAAAATTATAGTTGAAATCTACCGATTATAAAAGACAATATATTTTAATTGCAAATTGAATATAAATTATCTTTATTTGTATTTTTTATTTTATGTACAAAAAACACTTGTATTAAAATTCATGTAATCACAAGTATGAAATATAATTAATTAAATGATGCGCTTTATGTTAGTTATACTTGAATTACAACTCTAAATACTTTAAATAATTCGCTTTATATTCCATTTTCCAATGAATCGTCAGCTTTTTTTCTCTTTCTAAATAAAATTAAGCAATAGCGTATAGCTGTATCGAATAAGTTTATCATAAATAGTCTCTTATTAACGTGTGCCTGATCTATTAAAAGTAGCTTTATATTAAATTCATAAACAGAACTTTGTTTAATAAATTTAAACAGCATGAAGATTATTGAATTATAACAGTCATTCAAAATATTCATATCGCACTGAATGTCTTTTCTTAACTTATAAGGAGCATGAAAAAGTTTAAGCCACACATAATCATATTTCATGACATTTCTTCACTTAGTAATATATACTTTTAATTTCTACGTAGATCTACTGGTTTTCCGAAAATGAATAAATTTTTAGGGAAATTAACAAAACCACCCCAGGCATACGTGCAGGTATTCGTGCAACATCCTACAAAATTACAACAGCATGGTGAATTGCCTCTTTTCGACTTTAATTAGGAATCTTCTCGTACATGATAATCGTCCTTGGTGAAATGTAAAAAAAAAAAGAAAGAGAAAAGGATAGCGTAATTTAAGCAACGATGTGTGGAGGTGTGCAACTTCACAAACTTATGAATCGTTAACGTGTACGTAAATATTATCGAATTCACAGATTCTGGTTACGTATGATTCAACATAAATTATTCAAGTATCGGTAGCTCCACATTGCGAAACTGCCGTTTCCTTTCTCGCCTTCGGACATTATTTTATCAATAGACCAAATAGTCACTCAAGCTTATAAATTAAGTACGACCGTGAAAAGGTGCTACCGTTCGATTTTCTACGTATTTTCATTTCAGACTGTGAAGTACGAGTCACATTATACAAACGCGTAAGCAGTCGAGTACTCTCATCTTTATGCTTTCAGTATCGTATGAGATCGTGCATTTGGGTTAGTTTGAAGAGGGAATGTTCACGACATGCAGTTCGCCATTTTTTATTTTTTACGAGGGCCGCTCGTGCCGCTAATAATTTACGAGCGTGTGCTCGTACGCGAGATTATGTATCGTGAAAAACCGGCGAGAACGTCGACCAAAGTGGACGATGACTCGAGAGTGGGGAAAGGAGAAGAAGATGAAGCGAAGGAGGAGAACGTATTATCGATCACGATTATACAGGTTTCTTTCATTAATTCCTGGAAAGTATTGTACGTATTTGCTTTCTTTTTTACTGTCGTAAGTCTCTATGTATTTTATATATTTGCTTTACCTGTAATTTTATCTACAGCCTGTCGCGAAATAAGTTATTAACATTTATAGCGCAGTACTAATCTTTATAAGTTATTACCGAGTTTAGTTTTGTGTACGTTAAAAAGTATATATATATATATATATATATATATGCGAAATGTCTTGAACATTATAATTATACAGATTATTTGAAATTAATGGAAAATTTTTATTTTGAATTATAAATAAAATCTTTAGAAAATAAACTTACCAGAGAGTTTAAATTTGTGTGTGCATGTGTGTGTGCATATTTTTTTTCTATAAATTTTTCAAATATTTCAACGTCTTTATATATCTATATTTTATATATGTGCGCATGTGTGTGTGTGTGTGTGCGCGCGCGCGCGCGCGCGCTCGTGTGTGTATAATATTTTATTCCATGTTCAACTAATACTCCATTGTTCTCGTTGTTTCGAAAGAATAACACGTATTCTTTTGAACTTTTTTCTCAATAGAATATGGAAAATGATATTAAGCGCTTTACTGAAACCAAGCACGTTAAATAAAAGACTAGCTAAAAGAAATTTACAGCGGAAATATATTGACAATAAATGTAAGTGAAAAAAAATTGAAAAACTTATTAACCTCACGAATCTCTTTAAAAGCAGAAGGAAAATCGAATGATAAAAAATAACAGTTTAACATCTCACGAGTCCTAATGGACAATGCCATTATTATCAGAGATGCTGACTCTTCCTCGGAGATCCGTGGCGCACAGCGTTTTCCTGAAGCTACGACGAGCCGAAACTCGCGTTTACGCATATTGCGAGCTCTTTTCGCCTGCGCATCTGCGTTTCGCAAGGGAAGCCGCGCTCGTTGAGATTGCCCGTTGATTTACGAATGGCAATCATAATGCTCCCCCCTCAGCCCTCCCCTACAGCCATATACAATTGCCCCTCTACGATTCACTCTATACACGGCGGCAGACATGCCGGAGACGTGGAACGCGGACGTGCCCCGTAAGTACTGCGGTTTCGTTCGCGCCATGACGGATGAGATGGGGATAGTTGTTGCACCGAGAACGAATGTTGCGTAAAGACACGAGGATGTGATTTTCGGTCTTGCTGCTTGATTTTTCCGTCGGATTTTGTCGAGGTTCTATGAACGGGCAGTATGAATTCTAAAATCCATTTTGATATGCCTTGAGTGAACGGGATAATTTGTTGCTGAGACGACGCTATTGAATTGGATTTCTTAATCTTTATTGCAGGATATTAAAGGGTAAACTGGAAATGTTAGACTATATTTTTATTTTATGACTTTCGCAATGTGTTATGTGTGTGCTTGGTTGTGTGTATGTGCGTACGGGGGCAACGGGAAAATTTGTACACTGTCGCAACACTGGTATAATATGCAAAATAATAAAATAGATCGCATGATTTCTATTAAACATAGACAATATAAAATTTAAATGAAGATATGTGTTGAACTATTATAGTATGTAAATGCTATAAAATATTATGTTTCTAAATAAAAATGACAAATTTATATTATTCCAGCTCACAAACAGGAAAACATATGTACAAAAAATATTTTTTTCTATTTATTTTGAGCTGATAAACTATTTTAAGCAACACAAGTTTTAATAAATCGATTAATACAATTACGTTCAGAATAAGCTTGCGCCAAAATTAAATTATGTCATACTTATTAATTTATAAAATTAATACATTTTTTATACATGCTATAATACATCATATATAATAAGAAAATTGTATCGAAAGAATAATAATTATTAGATTAAATCTCTTGTTGAATATTTTAATAGAATAAGAATTATGATTTTTTCAAGAAAAATATCAATTAGTGATTAGTGATTATGAATGAGTATAGAATAATTTGCACATGACTCTTTTATTTCCTAATATACTAAAATTTATCAACGTTTAACAAATTTTACTTATTTATTATCTATGAGCTGTAACAAGATGATGATAATGTTATTTAAAATTTACTGTAAATAATTTACAATAATAATTTTAGAAAATTACAAAAATAACTATTATTTTACTACCAAATAATTAACTAATAATAGAACTAGCAAATAAGTTAGGTATTTAAATTATGGAAAATTTAAATACAGATATATTTTGTCATTCTATCACATAAATAAAAAATTTCATACATATAACCCGAAACAGATAAATAATATGAAAAAATAGCTTAACCGTCTGACATGCAATACATTCTCTACTTATAATATTAAATTAAGTACCATTATATATGCGTCTTATAATAAATTTATAATTTATTAAGTTTACTATTACAGATCTAAATCTTCAGATAGAAAGTTTTTATATCGAAATAATTATTGTTTTTTTTTGTAATGTCTTTTTTCTATTTTTATATTTATATTTTTTTTATATTTAAATGTTATATTTAATTTTGTAAAATAATGTGTAAATTTAAGTTTTATTATTGTGAGCAACGAATTTCCTTTTAAAGTAATCATAGAAATATTATAAATTTGAATTTTAATGTCCACGTAAAAATTCAGAGTTTTTGACGTTTAATTTACATTATATAAAATTCTTATATTAAAAATAACAAGAAATTATATCAAATTATATGTTAAATAAAAAAATGCTTTTTAACGTTTTAACTTCATCCAAAAGATAATTATAACATTTAATTAACTTTTACAACATTAGATTGACTCGATTGGAAATAACATGTAAGCACCATGATTATATAACAACAAATATGTCTATTATACAGTGAAATAGTTTATAAATTTGCAGCTAACGTTAATATTTATGTATATTTTGTAAAATAATTTATGTATATTTACAGTAAGTAAATTTAAGTATATATTTTCATTGTATATGATAATTTGTTTGTATTTCGACACGATGCATGGAAAGATGTTTTCGATAAGCGTGAACTTTCACGGAAACTTTGTTTACATCGAATAATAATGGAACATGATTGCAAGCAAATTGATTACATAAATTAATACTTATCTCATTATCCTCTCAACTTAAAGGTTTAAAAAAAATGTTGATTGTATAAAATTTAATATTATTACAAAACTACAAATGATTTGCATTCTATATACTTTAATTTTAATAATTAAATTTGCATAGATAGTTGAGAATTATGACATATACTTCATAAGAATCCTAGCATTAATTGTTTAAATTTATTTCTAGTCATATTTGTTCTATTGTATTTAAGAGCCAAATGTAGTTAAAAATATATTGAAATGATAAATTAGCAATGTATATAGTTTAGATTGTATTTGATATAATTTATTGTATTATTAATATCATACAAAATTAAGTTATGAGAAATCTGTATTACAATGTTTTATATATATATATATATATATATATATATATATATATATATATATATATATATAATATTATTATGAAAATTTAATCCTTTATAGATATTGATTAATATCAAATGCCATTAGATGTTGCTAATAAATAAATTGCAATTTTTGTTGTATTAAGTTCAATTTATATTATTCATTATTCAAATTTATTGAGGTAATTAAAAAATTAAACTGTCCAATCCAATTGAATTTTAAACTATAGTATGTGAAAGCCATAAAATTTCCGTATAATGTAAATTTCTTTATCTATATTATTTGCCAATTATATTATTCGTTAATGGTTGTATTATTACGGCTATAAAGATTTTATATTTTATTACAGTTATTTTTTAGACTATTAAATATTTATTGAAAAATATTCACGTATTTATATGAAATTTTTTTATATTATTTAGCCGATAAAATTGATTTATTCAGTGCATGAGCAGTCCAAATCACTCTATTATTTAAATCGTTTGAAAATATTATATATATAAATAGATATTGTATGCGAGTTTACACAAAGTGTATTTAAAAATTGTAGTTTAAAATATTCGCGAATATTACATAAATTGTTATGTAAAATTTTAAATAAGTTATTATACGAATAGTAAATTATAATAAAATGTATAATTCCTGAGTATTAGATTCATAATACACGAGGGAATACAGATACTTTTTTATGATTTAAAATTCTAAAGAAATTTTAAGTTAAAAGATATTTATTAATAAAATTGTTAAACGTAACAAGATGGCATTCAAGAATTTAAGAATAAACATTATGATGTGCGATTATTACAGTAAATATTTAAATGTATTTAAATAAATTTTGATGTAAGTCACTGTTCACAAGAAAGTCTTTTGAAGAGATTCTTAGAAATTATAATGAAAATTCTGTCTGAGGCTTCATTTTTAAAAAAGAACATACTTATTGCACAATACTTGCAAATGTATTTACAGCTTCAATTTACTTTGTAATACATTTAAATAAGTGCGTAGTTTGTATATTAAAATATTTTTACATAATTGGAATGTAGGGCAACTCGATGTTTTATTATTATGATATATAGTGGTAAATCGTATTCGGATGAGCGAGGAAAAATATTCTCAAGACGTTAGAAGCCTTTCACAAGGTCCATAAGAAAGTAAAAAAAATACTTGAATTCTATTTTTCCAGCGTACTTTGAATTCAGTGGTTACTTCGTTAATACCGTAAGCTCTATTCACTTTGTTCCTACGAGCCAAGCACTTTAACGCCCATACCCTTGGTATCTAGGACGCTTCGACATCCTCGAGTACAAGTGGTCCTCCGTATCTCAGCCACCTTGAGTAGTAACACCAGAGAGAAGAGCAATCGGTATACTTACGTTCATGTCTCCTGTGGCGTCCGGTGACTCCCGATAGTTCAGGTTTCGCGTCCACCGACAACAAAAATAAAAATTACGCCTCTGCCTGTCGCGTACGATAAGAAGAAAACGCGCTCGCGTCTGTCTTTTCTAAGCGAGGGTGGACAGTGGCTACACGAGATCCTCGTGGGAGATCACTGAGATGCCGAGTGCGAGGTAACATCTGCCGAGCTGGAGGTTTTATACCATTCCCAACGAGAAACGAGGATGATCGTCGTCGTCGCCGTCCAACTGCTGCCCCTCTTTCTCCTCCTTTTCATCCTCATCCTCTCTCCGATATATGTAACATTACGAGCAAGGCCATTGTAACTCTGAGCTTCGGTGATATCCGTGCCGCTTCTTACGCGGGCCTTTCCTTCGTTTTCCCCTCCTTCACCCTCTCATCGCCCCCACCATTTCCCTACTTCAGCACCCCTCTTTCCGCCCGCGCGCCACGTTTTTGGGGGTGGTTAAGGTTACATTCCTGTTTTATGACGTTTCCTCGTGAGTGAAAAGTGAAAAGCGAGAATGGAGATGCGTGGTGGGAGCGGGCTGTAGATGATTGAGCCAAGGGATTTCGAGCTCGCGAGTACGCACACCTGTGTGCGTATGTGCATCTTTGTGAGGCTGAGATCTGTTTTTTGTGACGAGCTTTAAGTCCATTTGCGTGCCGAGGCATAAGTTGTTCAATTTTCGTATGAAACGAGTGTATCTCCGTGCAAATGATTTAAACGTTTGCGAGCGCGAGCGCGAGCCATACACAAAGAACTTTTAGCAATGTGTAATTTTATGGCAATATTAATAATTTCTTATCATTATCATACTTACCATCGATCTAATTTTATCGCTAAAATAAAAAAGAAGGTGCGCGTAGTATTTTCCAGTGGAGTATAATATATATATATATATATATATATATATATAAGAAATATATTGACACAAAAGCTCTTATTAATCGTTGGTCGCCTTTCGTGAAATTGTAGCCCATTGTAATTACATTTTCAATGTCAACTATTATCGATACCCTTCTCATTCTTATATATACGCTATTTATTTTTCCTTTGTAAATGGTGAAGAAAATATAATAATTTCAAATTTTTTGAATAAAAATACATAAATTTCATGAATTAAAATATCAGCTTTTTAATGAGCTTATTAAAGTTATAGTGTCGAATTAGAAAAAAAATATTTGGTTTTCTCCAATAACGTTTATCTCATTACCTTAAAAAATAAAAATTTGCTTTAAATAAATATCAGAGTAATTTCGAATTTTAATAATATGATTAAATAATAGAACCTTCATATATATTTAAATTTGGTAAAAAAAAAAGAAGAGTTTTAAGGAATATAATATCCTTTAACAAGCTTCTCGTATTATAAAATACGTAAAAATCTTTCAATTTAATAACTTTAATAACCAAATAATTATATTTATTTTATTATTATATAGAATAAATATCTTTATAGTTTTATCTTGAGTTGAAATTATATACAGTGTTAAATAAATATAATCGTATTAAATAAATAATAAATAAATTTTTATCAATTTTTATCTTGTTTTATATATATTTTGTTAAATTTCTCATTTTATTTACTTCATTTCTTGTTTGGACGGCAAATTAGAGCGGCTCTATATCTTTTTCACTGAATAATTAAAGTGAAATGAACAGTGATCTAAAGTTTTTCTGAAAGATAAATGAATCCCATCAGAGTTGATTGAAAATAAAATCACACTACATGTTGATGAAAAAGAACATTGTTGTTACTTGATTATTTAATTGATTGGTAATATAATTATTCTCCAATAAAACAAAGTTTAAAATTTTTCTAAAAAATCTCATCGATAAAATAAAGAAAATAATATACATATGTGTTCTGTTTATTATTTATGGGTTTATTGTAATGAATCATAAAAGAAGATGTAAAAATATTCGTTTCATTTAAATGAATTCAATCATATATGATAATAAAATAATTGAGTAATAATTTAAATGATGAAAAATATTTGTTGTTTATATCGTTATATTTTCATAATAGCTTTATATACCTTAGAGTCATAATAATTTTGAACGAATAATTATAATTAAATAATTGGGATATTTTTAATAAATAAATATGTAATACAAAAAAATCTTATTTTCATTTTTAAGACATATTTATTAATCGTTCATAAAACATATAATAAATCGTTTAAATAATCAAGATATTATTGCGACAATTTTTTAAAACTATTGTATAATACACACACACACACACACACACACACACACACATGTATTAATTACTTTTATATTATGACAACTGGATATTCTATGAACATTATATTATGAAACATACACAATGCATCTTGATATATAATACTCAATATTGATGTATTTGTCAGTGTGAATAATTACCAAACAGTAATGTTAATGCATTTGATAAAATGTCAATGTTAATAATTCTATTCTATTAAAAAATTAAAATAAAATACAATATATATTGATGAAACGTAGGAATAAGTATATGCCAGTATGATTATATTTTTTGCGTGAAATCTGACAAAGAGTAGAAAATTGAGTATGAGTGAGATAACGCATCTCGACTAATATGCTTTGTTAGTGTGGCATACGTCATCTTTTGATTCGATTTGTATTGGATGTAGCGAATAGACAGGGAGAGAGAGAGAGAGAGAGAGAGAGAGAGAGAGGTGGGGGGGGGGGAGAATGGGAGATCAAAGAGAGACATTGAATTCGATGTCAATTTGTGTCAAGCAAAATAAATGTAGCTATTGGAGATAATCGAAAAATTTAATCACGATGTAACTGTGTACACTTTGCATAGACGTAAAGTCATTGAATTGTACAATTTCTATTGATCTGATGTCAAGTTTGCTTAATGCACTTAATACTCGTTCATCTTTTGTTAAGTATACGTATGTACGTTTGTTTTTACTTCATTCGATGATTAATGGTTAATTTTGAAATGTTAGATTTAGATTGAGAACCTTGAATTTTGAAAGTTTTAAAAAAGTATCTAAGGTATGAGTGGATCCGTTTAGCGATGTCTCAATCTCCGTACTTTTTACCTGCAAAGACTTTTTATACTGAGAAATGTGTAGGTAGAGACCTATGTAATTACAATTCATTTCGAGTAGATATTTAGAACTTATATATTTAGAAGTTAATCGCTTATTACAATTCAATCAATTAATGCAAATCTTATTATTATCGTTAAATAAAAGGTCTCTTACTCACTTTATTATTGTAATTATGTATTAGATATTAGCAATAATATTCTATTGTAACAAAACAATTTCAAATTGACTAAAACTGACAATATATTAATTCATCTTATTAATTTGTTAATATTTCAATTAATATATGTTAAATGAATAAACAGTTTTTTACTACATTTTTGTATTTACTTTCACTTTTGTAAAATATGTTACAATGAAATTTTTTTACATACATACACCCCGTAAATTATATAAATTAAAACACTACACAATAATAATAAACAGCCTTAAGTTTAAAACAATAACCAATAGGTATAACGAAGAATAACATTTTTCTTATCTTGTTTTTATTTATATATTTATTTATTTTTTCGATCATATAATAAGAAATAAATTATACTGCAAAAACGCTAATATTTAGCGGGGAGGATTCATCAGACACATTACACCAAATGCACTTTAGAGCTAGTAGATAAGACCGAGATCGAGAAAATCTGCAAATATGTGCAACATAATAATAATCTCACTTTAATAATTCTAATTACCGTGCAATAAAAGTTATTAAGGTTAATGAAAAATTAATTAATTTCCATGTATCGCGGTTTCGATTCGCCGGCTTCGCTGCTTGTAGATTTGCTTATGCAAGAGTGGCCGCATCTCTGCAGCGATGCATCCGCGGCACCCACCTCAATTCATGCAATAAATAAAATTAAAACCGCCGGATAGCCCGAGAGGGGATGAGTGCAGGGCGCGTTTTGGTTATGGAGGAGCGCGCGTGTTTATGCGTGCGTGCGTGCGTGCGTGCGTGTTGCGCGCTTCAGTGGATGGCTACACGTGATGGTGTATGAAATGGTCGTAGATGCATTTTGCAAAATTCCACGGTGGCTGTAAAAATTAAAGTATCGTTGTATCAGCTCGACATATTTCACGTAATTTCCAGATTTACGGTCGGATTTTCCGGTCTGTAACTTCTACAATTGTGCGTTTTAGCTCTCTCACTCTCTCATTCTCTCATTCTCTCTCATTCTCTCTCTCTCTCTCTCTCTCTCTCTCTCTCTCTATCTCTATATCTATCTCTATATCTATGAATTAGTAAATATACATTGATATGTCTTTTCATTGATATCAACAATATCATGATCAACAATATTATATAAACTAAGTTATATCTATCGCATGAAATCAATGAATGTGAATTCTATAAATTTGTGTGATTTTCGATTTTTAAAAATGGATGAAAGATAGTTGGGTACTAGATCTTGGAAAAAATTCAGAATCTTATATATCTACTTTTAAATTTATATATTTAAAGTTAATTAAATTACCTCTTAAAAATATCCATTCCTTATATCACTTAATTTACATGACCAATAACTATCGACAATTCACATAAATTTCTAAATATTACAAATGTCTAAAATAGTGTACAATCGAAAATGCAATATAATTGAGGTAAATAAATTATCGATATATATTAATTCCAAAAAAAAGTCTAAAAAAGCTCAGATTAAGATTTCATTATGTTTTTATATTCAAAGCATTTATTAGATAAATCAATCCTAAATTACTGTTTATCGAAAATCTTTCATTAGACATGTAAATTAATTTATATCCATAAAAAATTGATTATCTTTCACGTTGAAGGAATTAATGCTTTATTGAACTTATATCATTATATTTTACTATGACAATGTTGTATTTGTAAAGAAAAATTTACATCTTTATAAATAAATACACAAGTTAATAAATTTTGAAATGAAAGTGAATTAAATTAATAACCATTAAAAAAAAAAACTTTCTTATCTATATTATATTATTGATAATACTAGAGATGAAAATTAAAATTTTTCTAGTGAAAGGAATAAGTAGAGCTAAAAAGTAAAAAAAATTTTAACGAATCGTCTGAAGATTGAGCGAAGATTGAAAAGCTATTGTTTCGAAGCCTAGTGACAATTATTTTTAAATACAAAAATTATAAGTATACAGCAAACGTTCATTACTCAATCTAATACTAATCGAAGACTCGACAATGCATATTCGATGCGTATTAGTACACGCTCTCCTATTCAAAAG